TACATATAACTCCCGTGGAAACCTAAAGCAGAACATTTATACCTATAACAAATATACGTACCGAATTGGATCCTAATTAAAGGATTCCTTTGGCAAAACATAATAATGTAACTTCTGATTAGTTACTGAATTACATTTACAATTATAAACAATAATTTACCATAATCACTTAGATCACAAAAGTGTACTAGCTTTCTAAATGTGTACCAAAGTATTTGATTAAATGCTGTAATAAATACTTGTTTACAAAATATTATATGATGTATCAAGTTTAATAAACGCCATTTTAGCAAGATAATAAAATAATTTTCACATTTACTATTGTTTTACAAAAATGGCACTTTATTTTAACGATTGGATGACATTTGACAACTGTCAACTAAGTTAAAATTACATTCAGCCCCTGACTAAAAATCTGTTGTTAACTTCAGCCTGTGACTAAAACGCCATAGCCACAACTTGTCAATGTGTATTTAAAAGGTCACTTAGTGTCATGGAAAACATGTACGATAATGGGCGTTTTAAAGGTGGGAGTAAACAAAATGTATAACCTATTTAAAAAAATATTATATTAAATTTAAAAAATATTTGAAATTACGCTACTTTTGTCTTCTATTATATTTTGTTAAGATTATGATATATTGACAATGATATTCTTGTATTGTAAACCACAAAGCAATAAATATACAAATAAAATAAATTTCACGAGATGATGAAAGACCATGCCAATAGTAAAAAAAAACAAAATTAATAAAACCAGGATCAAATTGCAAATTATATAAAACGAAAGGTTTTTAAAGCGTATTTATGAAACAACTACATTATCTAACAATACACTTTTAGGATGTAAAAACATTAATCTTAATTTACCGACAACACAGTGTTTCTTATTATCCTTAATTACGTTTTGATTCATTGTATTCAAGTGTGTTGAGCATTGATTATCAATTGTTAAGCACGTGCTCCAGCAGGTGCATTTTTATCGCTATCTCCGTGAAAAACGAAACAATAGAACCGCACACTTGCATGACTTATTAGGATCTGTACTTTGTCAAAGTGTCACCGGCAGTTTATATTAAAATGGCGAATGTGGACGTTGACTTTTGCACAACGCAAATCGTGATCCGGAATTTTTTATAAATCGATAAAATATTGCGAGATTTGAGTAAAAATTCGCGGTTATGGATCACGGGTTTCCTGGTAAATATTTATATATCTGTATTGTTGGGTGCTTGCTGCTGCCTGGTCTTGCATCAATTGACAATGGCGATTATAATTTATAATATAAATATGACATTATCGGTTTTATAAGGAAAAACGTGTAATAATTAAAAAGAACATTTATTTTTTTGCAACAAAAGTATCTACGTTCACGATTTTAGCACGAATAATTATTTCTGGAACTAATTTTTTTACCTAGAACCTATAGGTCCTAGATAAAAGTAAAAGTGAACAAGTTTTTTCGTATCTCGGGGCTAATTTAAGGGAAGCTTATTTTTTATTTTGTGAGTTTTAAGTATATTAAAAAATACAATTCTTATGGTAAATTCTGAAATTGATAAAATTATGTTTTTCTATAATATTATAGATTGTGTTTTCCTATAATATTATGAACGACAAGACAAGATAATGTTGCTCTGTTGCTCTTAAAGTTTGTACTTTATAAATTATAAATTACATAAATTTTTCTAAATTATATTTACATACAAGTTGAGCCTTTCAGTATTTTTTAATTTGTTTAATCAGCTACCTACTGATTTTTATGGTTTGAAGAAGCATTTCTAAAATTACAAAATTATTTATTTTATGTATAAAAATTATAAAAAAAGTTATACTTCTTTAGGGTACCGTAAGTTAAAAATTTTTTTGATTAGATTGAACCTATTTATTTTTTTTTGTTAATTTAAAATGAATTTATCAATGTTAGTCTTGGGGCTGGTACTGGTACCTATTTATAATCTAAACTTGCGAATCTCATATACTTCTTCTGCCAAGAGGAGGGTGACTAAGCTGTTTGACCACCTGCATTATATCAATCAGGGCCTTGTCGGTAGCCAAATAAAGCTGGAATAATTTTTTTACCCGAGTAACAATATCACAGTCGGTTTTGGAACATTGTTCCATAGCCTTTTGGCATCCCTTTGAGGATACTATAAACTCTACAATATAAAATTGTTTTCTTCGATTATTGGGATATTATTGGTGGCATTTCTTTAGGAAACAACTAGTCTCCAGGTACTTGTGCTCCGTGATTTACAATTTCCATAAGCGATGTCGTTGCTTCATTATCAAACTAATCATTCTCTTCATTTTGGTTGGGGATGTTTAACATCACTATCACTCTTAGCATGTTAAAAATAGAGGGTTTGTTTTGTCTTAAGTTCTTTTCAAAAATATCCAACCAGAAGTAACAATTATCTTTTTTTTTACTTTTTTGGGCTGGTCGACTCCTCTAAAGCTTCTCAGCATGTCAATCGGTGTGTTTGATACTTCAGATTAAACTTCCTCTTTACTTTGCGCATAGAGCATCCTGCTAAGCACAGCTTCTGGGTTGAATGGATAAATGCCAGTTTTTGCAAATCCTAATTTTAAATTTTGACTGAAATTTTATCCCGCTGGGTATAATACATAGGTCGAAAAGCTTGTCAAGCAATTTTGGAAATTCTTCCTTTGTCATTGTGCAGCTTTATATCAAATTGAAAATATATATTAAATTACACTGTGCAACACCAAAAATCAAACCGCACCGGACTATTTTTTTCTGAAAATAATAAAAGTTAGCTTGATTTATTTTTTTATGGCCGTTTGTATTTTCTAGCTTCATATACCCCAATTTAGACTTTTAGATTTTTTTCGCATATATGCGAATATATATATTCGATTTTTTGTAGAAATTTAGTTACTGAACAAATAAACCCATTTTGTGAACAACCTTTATCCCAAAACCCAATTTTTGGGACCAAATATTCGAAAAATTATTTTTCCAATTTTTCGATAATATTTAAAATTTCTTGCTACTTCTTCTGGCAAAAATGTTGTAAAGTATACTAAAAGAAGTAATTTATAAATACCCACACAAAACTAAACTTTAAGTGTACTTATTTGCTGGAAAAGGATTTTTAAACAAGATTTTCCAAAATATTCACATTCTCATACTCAACAACAAATTTTTTGCCGAAATCTTTGGAAAATCTGTAGGAAAAAAGTGAATAGATAAAATAGAATTGGACCATTTAAAACGCCTGAAATGAAATGAATATAAAAAATATATGAAATGAAGGGATGGAATTCTCCAGTGATGAATCAAAAAATGAAAATGAAGAGCAAGGAAATAAAGGAGAAGAAGTGGAAGGGATGGAATTCTTTAGCAATGAATCAGATTACTCAATGTTTTGATATAAAAAAGTTTTTTAATAATAAAATTAATACAAAATACAAAATTAAACTCTCTGTACTTTTCTACAATTCTATTTTATCTATTCAATTTTTTCCTACAGATTTTTTGGCAAAATATTTGGTGTTGAGTGTGAAAAGATGAATATTTTGAAAAATCTTGTTTAAACATTATTTTCCAGCAAATAAGCAAACTTAAAGTTCAGTTTTGTATGCGTATTTTATAAATTGCTTCTTTTAGTATACTTTACAACATTTTGCCAGAAGAAGTAGCAAGAAATTTTATATATTATCAAAAAATTAAAAAAAAAAATTTCGGTCCCAAAAATTGGGTTTTTGGGATAAAGGTTGTTCACAAAATGGGTTTATTTGTGCAGCAAGTACATTTATTTCTACAAAAATCTTGACGATATATATCAAGTTAACAAAAAAAAATAGGTTCAATCTAATAAAAAAAAAATTAAAGTTACGGTACGCTAAAGAAGTATAACTTTTTATAATTCTTATGGATAAAATAAATAATTTTCTAATTTTGAAAATGCTTCTTCAAACCATAAAAATTAGTAGCTGATTAAAAAATTTAAAAATACTGGTTTATAATGTACAAACTTTAAGTCTAGAAAAGTTTATAAACAAGTTTCATACTATACTTTTTCTACCACAAATACTTATTATTGTCTAAAAATTATTTAAATTAGGGCACTTTATTTTAACGATTGTATGACATTTGACAACTGTCAACTAACTTAAAGCTAACTTCAGCCCGTGACTAAAACGCCATAGCCACAACTTGTCAATGTGTATTTGAAAGGTCACTTAGTGTACGGCGTTTTAAAGGTGGGAGTAGAAAAAATATTTAAAACTTATGTATATATAACACAGTTTTAAATATTTTAATTTGGTAATACCCAAATGTTAATCTTTGAGGAGAAAAAAAATTGAAAGTAAGATGGTTAAAAATATTATTTTTTTAAAATAAGTTTAGCATAAATATTATGGTTTCAGAGATAATTGCGATTTCACAATTTAGTAACAAAATTAATAAAAAAAACATTTTTGACTTTAAATTGGCGAGCCTAGAATGTTGACTATTTTTTTTTGCATATATTATAATTATTTGTTTACCTTAAAGATTATTATTTTTAAGAATATTCGTATTGTTTTAAAGAGAAGTAGTAAAATTTAATTAAATATAATATATAAAAGTTAAATTAAACGTTTCTTTATTTTTATAATTCCCTCTTTGTTTATCAAACACCGTGTATGTTTGAAACTTATATTTTAATATTATAAATTTTAATATTAAAATTATCTTATCCAAACCAGCTTTCTATAAATATATTTTTACAATTTATCCAATTAAATATAAAGCGCTAAGCTTATTTAGAAATTCGCATTAATATTGCCAGGTTTAACCTTATCATTAATTATGAAGTTATATAATATTTTTTTTATTTTAAATACTTACACGACATTTACTTAAATTATCTATTTTAAATTGTTGATTGCTCTAAATTAACAATTTTAGATTTGCATATAACAGGATTAAATAAAATAAATATTAAAATTAAATATTAAAAAGTTTTATTTTATAACGTGAAAAGTCAGTTTTTGTTATATTTTATTATCTCCAAGGTACATCCTCGAAAATCCATTTTTGAGATTCACTTCCATTACAATCAGTTAATATTAATCCTTCAGTAAATGATTTAGAATTAGAAACGTCCAAACATTTATGGTTAGTCAAGTGGAACAATTCTTGAGTCTGAAATGAAATAAATATTAGGAAAATTTAGTAAAACAACTTATTTAGGATTTTTTCCGTTTTTTAAATATATCATACTTTAGCTTAGATGCAATATTTTTAATTTAAATTATTGTTAGACACCGTTGATTTTTATTCAAGTCAAACTATTTATAATTATTAAAATAAATTGTTTCTTGCATCATAAATATTACCTTTTTATCATATTTCCACTGTTGTCTTGAATATCCACTACATGCCATTATTCTTACTTTAGATGGGCCAATCACAACTCGTTCTGGAGCATCAAGACAAATCGAATCATCGGTCATTATAAACCCTTCAGGTGTCATTACGAACATTTCTAAGGCTACTTCGTCTTTTAAACAAGTGTCAATTTTAGCAATACCCATAGGTTGGTTTGAAAGGCCACGTTTGTCAGGTTTTATTAGGCATAAGTCTTGGCCTTTGTTGCGAATTCGACCAAAAAATCTGTCCTTTTTTGGGAAAAAGTGGGAGGGCCAAATGTTGTCTAGATACCATTCAAAATTTTTGCATTTTAGTTTGTTTTTGAGTTGAAGTCTTGAGGTTATGTTTTGCTCGTCTTTGACCTGGCGTGCTTTTTCGTTAAATTTAAAGTAGAAGTTCGACCATTCATCCATCCACACTAAAGCAACTCTGGCAAGATTGGCGAATAAAGTTTTGTCGATACCGCCTGGGAAAGAGTAGGGGGATGATTTTCTAAAAATGTGACCTACATGTGAACAGGGCGCTATTTGAATCTTTCCTCCACACTGCCAAACTCTAAAAGACATTTCCAGATTTTCTCCACCCCATACATTCATATTTTCATCATAGGCACCAACATCGAAAAAATACTTTTTATTTATTGCAAACAAACCACCGGCCATTGTAGGTGAATTAAACGGTTGTGTTGCATCATTTTTTCTTAATTTCATCTCTTTGCCACCTAATGTATACCACCTAAACTGCAGATTCCAGTTAAAGGCCCCCCAATGTAACTCAAAACTTTTCACATAAGCAAACGAATCGTCATTTATAATGTCGATTACAGGACATACCACTGACGTGGAGTCGTTTTTTATCACAGATAATAGAGGTTCCAGCCAGCCTTTAGTGCATTCACAATGTGCATCTAGGAAGGTTAGTATTTCGCCTTTGGCTTCTAGTGCTCCTTTCAGGCGGGCTTTTATTAATCCTATGCGTTCAAAGCTGCGGATGATTTTTGTTGGTACTGGTAGGGTTGATATGTAGTCATCCAGGGGTTTTCTGAGGAAGTCTGAAATAATAAAAACTATTTATTTCTATGTATTTTCATTTAAACACGAATCCTTATATTCAAGTTTTAAAAAAAACTAAAGCTGTTTGGAATTGTCCGTTTAATTTCTATAATTTTTATGTAAAGCATTTTTATCAAAAATATAAAACAACAAAGATAAATAGGTTTATGAAAAAACAAAATAAGTTCGATAATTCGATAAAGGTTGTAGATCTAATAATCTAAAAATGTATTTGAGCTTTCGTTTTTAAACTATCGTCCTCCTATTGTTGTTACATAAATTTAAAAGTTAAAAAAATCTCTGATATTTATGGTCGTATTTTAAAAAATAAAAGTTTTTGGAATTGTCAGTTTATTACCTAGAATTTTTGTGTTAACATTTTTAGAACAATATTAACTAACAAAGATAACGAGGTTTAAAAAAAATAAAAAGTATTTATTCAAAAAAGGTATTAGTCTCAATGAGATATAAAACCTGAGTAGAAAAAAATAATATAAGGCAAATAAATTTTGCACTAGTATTACCCGGGATCCCGGACGTGTCGAAGAAGGAATTTAATTAACCCAATTGAGAAACTCAAAAATTCAGTTAATCCCGGCGCATTCGCCATATTTGAAAGTATTTAATCAGATTCAATAAGGACAAGAGGCGGCTGTCCGCGGGTTTATACCTAATAAATACAAAATTTAAAAATAAAATAGTCCAAAAGATTACAGAAAAAAATACACTGTCCAACAATTTATTAGTTTTAGGCATATTTTGCTAGTATCGGTAAAAAAGTATAAAAGGGAAGGATATAGGATGTTAAGCGCATGCGAAGAATAATATTCTAACAAAATAGTATTACATATGGACACCTTTAAATAAAGATCTATAATTTTTTTTGAATTAATATAATGAGGTACTAAATAACTATTCACCTTACAGAATTTGTATAGATATTTATTTATTTATTTTATTAAATAACTCTTTATAGCCAACTAAACATTCCATCCAACAAATTTTTCCAAAAAGTAGCTCTCTTAATTTTTCTTTCATTACCTTCTCGAAAATATTAATTTATATTAGAATACAATAAATTTTAAATGACAACTATAAAAATATAAATATATTTGGTAAATATCAATCAGCAAAGCGCTAATACAGTAGTGCAGTACAATATAACCTCCTAACAAGTGAATAATGTACGAAATCAGTTACACTACATGTGCAGGTAAATTCAACGTACCAGTCTACCGAAGGAACCAAAGAGAAGGTTAAGTGGATCGCAGCAACAAAATATAAGTTAAATAGATTTAAGCCGCATGATTTAATTTGCATTTTCTACTAATAAAGTGATTTTGCATTTTTACCAACCCTCTCGAAGAGGTTAAGCGTCTTCAACGCATCTAAACCAGGAAAACAATAGAGCCAGCCAAGAAAAAGAGAATTCCCACAGGACAGCAAACGTATCATTCGTAATATAATTCGGTACAAAACATTTATAATCACCAAAGCACTAGACAAACAATCGCCCTGGAACGCAATAGATCGTAACATAAACAAAAGTTCAGTCACCTAGACAACAATAAACACACTAACACATCAATAAGGGCTTTACTGAAATATAGGTAAGGTTAACGCACAGTGAGACAAAATATTTTGTATATGTACTTCCTTTACTTTTCGCATTACTTCGTTAATAAACATTAAAAAAAACTTTCAGAAACTATCGATAAGTATCGGTAGTTATATCGCCGTCTACCGAAAACTATCTATCCATAGTTTTCGACCTCTAGACTTAAGAAATGGTTTCGCACAGAGGGGCAAACAATTTGCGTACACCAGTACAGCAGTTTCCGAATTTACAGCATAGTAATTTTCAGCAGACACTAACGTAAACGAACAGGAAGTACTATAAGACCAGCAAGGATAGGTCCAAGCAGCGAACTTACCAATCAAGCCCTATTTATAAACCTCAATTGGGGTTATTACTAAATCCCTGGTCTGGGGGGATTCCGGTTTTACTTAGTTTTGGTTCAGTCACTGTCCCCCAAAAACCAAATTGTTTTCCCTCCTTGACCCGCACTCCACTAGCCTAAATCTGGCGTATGGCCCGTCCCGGCGTCAAAATTCCGGGAGTGGCCTTAACCATCGACACTGTCATCCACGACCTCCTAGGAGAGATTTACCAGCCGGGTGAAAAGTCGGATCCATCAAACACAGGTAATACTGTTTAGTTGCGGGATACGTATGAGAACTAAAAGATGGTTAAAATAACTCTGGAAGATCAGTGTGAGGCAATGCCGATGGAGCCAGCCATACGTTCCTTATACACATACTCAAAAACTCGACAACATTGTGTAGGAGAAAATAGAGGAATATGGACTATGGACAAATAAAAATTTTAAGTAGTAATCTTTGTAATAAGATAGTCAAAACGGGAAAATTGCTTGATTAGTAGAGATGGGATTTTAGCGGTATTACCCATTTGTATACGCTAATCATAACTTGGGTGCAATAGAATAAGGTTTTTAAGAAAATGATTTCATTTGAGCCTGATTATATTTACCTATTTTACCGAAATTTTCATTTTCTAGAGAAAAGGACCTAATTTTACATTTTACTACCTAAACTAGTGTAATTTTACCATCAAAAACATGTTTTTAATATTGTGGTTGTCGTATTCGGATAACATAAGTTATTTCTTTGTGCTTTTTTATGAGAAAGTATTTTTTTAACACATTTCTATAATAATAAATGGGAATTTCTTATTGATATTTTTGAATTGAAACCGAGGTGCAGTCCGCAGGACGAGTGAAATGTGCTGCTTCGGTTTTAATGAGTACCTAAATACAGGCCCGTTCCTGGGGTGTCTGGCGCCTACGTGCAGCATTCTTTGTTGCGCCCCTTTTATATTTAAATATAATTTATTAAATATTTTAATTTTAAGCCCTAAAATTTTAAAAATATAAATTTAAATATCTATTAAATTACCAAACAAACAAAATCACAAAAAATAGTTGGTAAAAAATACTCTAAAGAAAACACAAAAAAGTTGTTTTTAAAAACTATAACAATATAATAACTACAACTGTTTTTTAGTGTCGTACTCTCTAAAAATGAATTAGTCAATAATTACTAGTTTTTAAAGTGAAAGAGAAGTCACTAATAACTGTAGTCCACAGCAATTTGTATCTTAGACATTTAACAGCTTATTATTATGTAAAATTGTCCCCTGAATCCGAAAAGACTGTCAAAAATGATGAAAGCAGAGCAGTTTTTGAGATATTGTATATTCCATATTATATGGAAAATTGACTGTATCTCAAAAACTGTTCTATGTACTTTTATAACTTTTGACGACATTTTCGGATTCAGCGGACAATTTTACATAGGAGTTGACTGCTAAATGTCCGGGATACAAATTGCTGTTGACGATAATAATAATTATTAGTGGCTGCTTTTTCGCTATGGCAATTGGTCATTTTTGACTAATTCATTTTACCTATAGTTACAAAGTCATGCACTGTGTAGACTACTGTTAAACTTTGCTACCGTCAACTGCAACTATCAAACAAATACTAAAAATATTATGAGAATTTCTTTCCTTTTATTTTGATACTTATATCAACTAAAAAAATTAGGTCGCTAATATTAAAGCTGCAAAATGCGCTTTATAGCGGCAGAAAAAATACCGGCAACCTACTCTCTAAAACTGAATTAGTCAAAAATTACTAATTTAATAGTTATTAGTGGCTGCTTTTTCACTTGTAGCATGGTTAACCATGGAATATCATGGTATCCCAAAATTTAACAGCCAATTCTTATGTAAAATTGTCACCTGAATCCGAAAATACCGTCAAAATTTATGAAAGTGGAGCAGTTTTTGAGATAAAGTCAATTCCATATTAATTGGAAAATTGTCTATATCTCAAAAACTGTACTACATTTTTAACTTTTGACTGATATTTTCGGATTCAGGGGACAATTTTACTTATTATTATTAAACTCTATTATTATTATAAGAATTGGCTGTTAAATTTTGGGATACCATGGTATTTCATGGTTAACCATGGTACAAGTGAAAAAGCAGCCACTAATAACTATTAAATTAGTCATTTTTGACTAATTCATTTTTAGAGAGTATGTTTAAGTATTTGTTTATTTGCAAGAAAGTTTATCGATACAAAGTTACCGATTGACTCTTTGATTTTGCGCCCCCAAAATGTTGCGCCTGCGTGCGTGCACGCACTGCACGCTCGCCAGAAACGGCCCTGCCTTAATATCATACCACGAGTCATATTTAGTAAGAAAATATAATGAATATTAGGATTTAAAGAAATTTAAAATTAAAATGTGCTTTAAAATATAAAAGGACTTTAATAAAAGAAACTTTATTTATTCAAACTTGCTCGTTACTGCCTACATGTCGATTAGGGACACATTTGTTTTTCTTAGTAGCGATATTATTGTCATAAACAATAAGTCAGAAATAATTTTCTAGTAATAAAAATGAGTGATTAGGAAAGTTTGCCATCTGATATTAAAGAACAAGTCAAAATACGAGATGACCTATGCCAAATATGAAAAATGGTGTACAGAAAAAGAGATTCGCAGTTTGCCAAATGAGAAGGTATTATTGTCATACTTTAGCAGTTTATCCAAGGTTTTTAAGCCTTCAAGAATTCATTTGGAACACTGTAAACATTGTGTTATTAATATTAATAATAAATAATTAAGCTGTATTGTTACATTAAATTTAAATACATTGACATTTCGACTTTTTTATTTTATTGGTTGAAAAGCACTGAGATAATAAAAACGCGTGCGTTAATGAACTTCTTATCTCACTCAACATGAGTGGGATAAGAAGTTCTTATTTCACTGGCGTAGATAAATTATTTTAATCATATAACAAACACAGTATTAAAATTAACAAATGTCAAATCAATAAAAGTGTCAAAATCCTTATTAACGTGTAAACAAGGTTATAATAGTATATTAAATAACTAATGTCATAAGACGTCATTTTGTCGCACGAGGACAATTTATAAAACGAGCGTCAAAAATCATGAGCTCACTTGGCAAATTTCTACTCAGCTGCAAAATATCAATATAAATTAAAAAAATAGCCCATAAAGGGTAAAAAAAGAAGCAAATGATTGTCCAAAAAAATTGTTACATTTTTAATATACATATTAAGCAACAGCGCATCGGACTCCGATGATCGGAGAGCAAAATAGTTTTATAAAAAATGTAGTTCAAAATTACCAGTATTTTAAAAGGCTGGCTCTGTGCGACAAACGGTTTGTAATTTATTAAAGAAAAACGTTAGATGTTTTTAAAGTTCCAAAAATGCACTTTTGATTAAAAAAAAAAATTCCCCCGTTCCCTATATAAAATATTACACTTTAATTGGCCTATTAATGATTAATACTTTTGGAATAATATATAAACAAATTAAAATTTCCAACACCCTTATGATAGAAAATAGGAGTTCTAGAAATTATTGCTGGCATTTTGTAGTCTTTTACATACCTTTTATAGGTAATAATTAAAAATTATATATAGTATATGTATACATTTTTTATTTATTATGTCATGGCTATATAGTATGTTATAAAAGTAATACCTCTTTCACTAGCATCATCCACCAATAAAATTTCTTCTACCAACTCTACAGGAGATCTATTTATGACACTCCAAACTGTTCTAAGCAAAGTTGACCATGCTTCATTATGAAAAACTATAATCACACTAGTTTTACTATAAGATTTATAGTCGCCAAACAAAAATTGGCACCTAAAATCAAAAGATATATAGTGTTTTAAAATTAAATTTAACAATTTTTAACTATTTTAACTCATAAAATTAGTTTGTCAAATACAACAAGTAAAAAATCTATAGATAGACAATATAAGATCTTATCTATAAAGAGTAAATTATTTAATATTTCTATTACGGTCTGTTCATTAGATTTGCATCAACTCACACCAGTCTAAAGAGTGCAGTTGTTTACGACCAATCAGATTTAAATATTTATCTACTCAAGTTGTAAATTAAATATGAAAAATATAATAACACAACATCAAAGGAAAAAGTAATTTTGCTTTTTAAAGAATAAATTTTGAGGCGCTTAATTCGATTATTAAAATAAAATTTGTTGATAATAATATTATTATGTATCATAAACTAAGTATACTTAGTATACAATAAAAAATATAAACTTCTTTTATACTTTTTTCTCCTATAATCCGGCAAACTTCGATTTAGCGGCATCTTATCGCTTGCCATTAAATTAAATCTATTAATTTGAAATAACTGTTGCATTTCTAATAAGTCTTTAGGTTCAATAACAACCGGATTTCCATTTTTTCCCGCGTTAGGCATCGGATTAAAACGGTTTGTATTGATCATATCGTAGGTAGCATTGGGAATCTTGTTAACTGGGTTGCCTACGTAGTGGCCAACGACTACTTTTATTCCATGTTTGTCAATATATTCTTCTTGATTGTTTTCCCTAAAAATAATATCATTAATGAATTGTATAAATATTGGTGGGTCCATTTTAATATTAGTACCTTGTGGCAACCTTAATCAATTTTCTTACCTAAATATGTGTTTTGGATATATATCCATAGATTTTTTGTCATGTTTTCTCCATATGGCTACTATAGCTAATAATACGAAAAATAAAATCAACGGCAATATTTTTTTGCATTTTCTCAAAGGAGCTACTACCATATTACCTAAACCTAAAATAAACATTTTTTTTAAATCTGTACTGTTGGTAATTGTTTTTAATGTAAAATGGTTGATAAATTATGATCTTGACATTTTGACCCGGTTAAACTATTAAATTGTATTGGTGTTAATGATTTTTGCTAGTATAATAAACTAAGGGTCATTTTCACTAAAATATATACCTAAGTTAAGTATCACAAAAAAATTAACTTAACGTCAGTGGTGGAGCTACCGTCAGGGGGGCCTACATGTTAAAGTTCTGCCACTGCTTAACTTGCATATTACCTTTTAAGTGTGAAATAAGATTCCATATAATTACAACATTTAAATCTTGAGATTGTTTAAGTGTTATACTTAACGATAACCATTTGGGAAACCTTTAATCTGTAATTTAATTTAATACTGAATGTGCTAATTATTTTTTAATTTAATATAAAACTTAATGTTAAACAAAAAATATTAAACTAGTTTAGCTTAAAGTGTCCATTTAGTTTAAGCGATACTTAACTTGCAAACTATATAGTTTTGCAAGTTTATATAAATGGTTAAAAAAAAATATAAGTTATATAAGTTTATATAAATGGTTAAAAAAAAATAGATTCAAAGTTAAACTATTTTAAAAATTTATATGTATTTAATTGATACTTATATTGTATTCATGAATAAGTATCTTGGTAGTACTTAGGTAGAATTTATTTTTAAAATGATGCATACATGTATAGGCATTAAGAATAAAAATTTTCACTTAAGTAGCAGAATGACCTATTACTTATTATTATTTAGTAAATCAAATTTTTAAGAAAGTTGCTATGAAAATGTATATTCTGGCTTGTCCTTGGAATGTTCTTGCAAAAATAGTAGAATCCCAGCAAACACAAGTCTGGTAATGTAATGGCCCATTACAGCGTTTAATGGTTAAATGATGGCATTTTGAACCCAAGCTGTTCTTGTACTTGGCCTCTACAGGAATTTTTCGTTAATAAATGTCAATTTAGACCAAAGGCTGTCGTGGTAAGGTCTTGCAATGGCCCTTTTCAGGCAATGATATGTATAATTTAACATTAAAGGCCCACATATGGCAATTATAAGTATCAAGTTAATGGAACTGTAACACACCATTACAGTGCCAAATGTTTTCCTTTGCTTTACACCATATTTACTAATGAATTGCCTCATGTTAGTGGTATTATGCATATGCATATAGAAAAATAATATAGATTTTGAGATATATTAATTAATTATCTAATAGGTGTATTTTATAATTAATTATTAATGAACTAAACAACTAGGTAGTACCTTTTTCAAGTAAGTATTTTTACTGTACAATTTTTACATTAATGTCGTACTATTTAATAACCTAGGTTAATATATTCTTTTACTAATGATACTTTTAAGTAAAAATTAATTAATTTTTAGAAACGGTTAGGCTAAAATTTGAATTAGCCACTACAAAAGATATTGAAAATACTATAAAAGCATGGTTAAGGGGAGCAATCGACAGGGATGGTGGTCGTAAAAATCTAGAGGAAAAAAATCAATGAAATTATTAATTTTTCTTATTTTAATTTTTTTTTATTTACTGAAAGAAATTTGATTTTATTTTATAATATTTTTTTTTTAATTAAATATGTTATGTTATAATTATGTTTGAATTACATGTATTTTATAACACATTAAACACTTTGTATTTTTAGTTTTAGGGACATTCCATGATAACGAAATTTTTGTCCCGACTGTTATCTATATAGTAAAGTACCTATCTATTATGGTGGATTAAATTTGGTAAGTATATATTTATTAGGTCGGATATTACACGATATTTGGGAATTTTTTATCCCTACCGTCAAAAATCGGTCGGGATAAAATATTTCAATTATCATGGAATATCCGTACCTATAGTAAATATATAGGTAGGTACCACATTTAATCCGACATAATAGGTACTTTACTTATCCATTAAAGAATATTTAACTAACCACTATAGAACCTTTACGGTTGTGTTTGCTGGGATATTTCGTCAAAATCTAATAGAAAGGTTAACCTTTACTAATATTCTGGAATTCTAGTTCTTCCAGGAATATACTTTTATATTCTGAAAATATTGCTTTTGAATATTTATGGTACAGTGAATCCCCTACTAATGTTCTCATTCTTCCAGGAATAAACCATTTTGTTCTGGAAATATTCCCCAGGAATATTCAAAAAGTAAAATATAATTGCCATTTTTTAATTCCAAAACTTATTAGAACCAAGTGTCACACACCCTATAGCTATAGCTTTAGCTAGCTAAGGAATAATACCACAGAAACATTACATTATTATTTTTTTAATATTATTTAAATTGTTTACAACTTAGGTTAGACTTGCAAAATAAACAGTGCAACAATTAAAGCTCCAAGAGGGCAAAACATTGTGACGGAACAGCAATCTGGAGTGTAGAACTCGATGGACAATACGGCTGGTGTTGCTGGTTGGCTAGACCAGCAGGTCTCAGGGGTGTTAGTGTTCGAGAGTTTAAATAATACTAGAGCTCTTTGGGAAGTTATTTAATCAGTGATATGCCTCCACATGTATAAAGTTTAGTGTAAAGATCTACAAATACGACAAAACATCTAATTAATACCACAAATTATGCATATAAAAATATATGTTTATAAAAAAGACAAAACTGTTAATAAATAAGTATAAATTACCACATATAAAAGCTTACCTACAAATACGACCAAAGCCGTAGTTTAGTTTTAAGAAACAATCCACTTTAGGGATTTAAACAAACTTAGGTCCTTGTAAGGTTCGCACTTGTGCGATCTTTAGCTAAAACTGAAAGATGGCGGGTTTTTTTGCACTCACGGGTATAAAAAAAGAATAATTCGCGGGTGATTATCGATGCGATCTTGGTTGCCTAACTTCAGCCAAATGATCGTCACTATAGTGCGCAAGGGCCGGTGACCCATAGATATAGTTTCACTACAAAATATTGCAATTTTATTTAAATAATCAAGTTTCCCACGAACCTGATCAGGTATCCCCATTGATGCTTTAAATAACTTTAAGCTTTGTAAGTAGTTTTGTTTTATATTAAACTTTTTTTACATAAACTTGACAGTTCCCACATTACATTTAACAGAAGTATCCTTATCATTCATAAATATTTTATTCTTTAAAAAAAAACTATGATCCCACCTCTCCCCTACTATAGACTATATATGAGTACCTTAGATGCAAAACTCGGTTTTTGCAAATTAAAAAATAAAATAAAATTGACTTTAAATTCTGTTTAGTGTTCGTCCTAGATAAATGGCGTTTATAAAACTTGATACATAATAATATATATAATATAATATTATTACGTATCAAGTTTTATGAACGCCATTTATCTAGGACGAACACTAAACAGAATTTAAAGTCAATTTTATTTTATTTTTTAATTTGCAAAAACCGAGTTTTGCATCTAAGGTACTCATATAGTCTATATAGTAATATATAATATCGTAATATATGTTAAACAAGTAAAATACATTTTCATCAACTAAAGTTATATATAAATTGTTTTATAAAATTATGTAATTAGATTGAAAATAAAACAATAATTTAAAAACGAATCTGAGTGTGGCGTGTGACTTAGTCGAGACTTTGTAACAATGTGAGTCACATTATGTGACAGGGGAACCGGGTTGACTAAAATCCCCAAATAATGTGTGACGTACTTTATGGAAAACCCCTTACAATATTTCGGAAGTAGAATTATAAAAATAATAATATTATTAGGAAGAATTTTAAACAATAAATAAAATGTATTAGTTTTTTAAATTTTATATTTCACTTTATTTTTATGAATTATTTCTTATTAAATAAAAAAATAACTATGAAATTTTGATATTTTTTAATTTTTTTTACCACAAGTTTTAAAAAGCGATAATTTTTAATAAGAAATTATCATAATATGTAAAAATATGTTACAATTAATTTCCAATCGTCCCAAAACAGCATATTTCTTTACATATGAAAACAAACATTGGGAATAAACCTGGCAACACCGCTTTGAATCGTAAATTTACAACAATTTTGCAAGGACAGATCAATAATAAATATAAAAAAACAATTCATCAACTAAAGTTATATTATAAATTGTTTTATAAAATTATGTAATTAGATTGAAAAAAAAACAATAATTTAAAAACGAATCTGAGTGTGGCGTGTGACTTAGTCGAGACTTTGTAACAATGTGAGTCACATTATGTGACAGGGGAACCGGGTTGACTAAAATCCCCAAATAATGTGTGACGCACTTTATGGAAAACCCCTTACAATATTTCGGAAGTAGAATTATAAAAATAATAATATTATTAGGAAGAATTTTAAACAATAAATAAAATGTATTAGTTTTTTAAATTTTATATTTCACTTTATTTTTATGAATTATTTCTTATTAAATAAAAAAATAACTATGAAATTTTGATATTTTTTAATTTTTTTTACCACAAGTTTTAAAAAGCGATAATTTTTAATAAGAAATTATCATAATATGTAAAAATATGTTACAATTAATTTCCAATCGTCCCAAAACAGCATATTTCTTTACATATGAAAACAAACATTGGGAATAAACCTGGCAACACCGCTTTGGATCGTAAATTTACAACAATTTTGCAAGGACAGATCAATAATAAATATAAAAAAAAAACAATTCAAAAAATATACTACTAAAAACAATAGATTAACTCACCTTAATATGTTTACATTTTCCCATTAAATATACGTAAATCTAATCACATCACAAACAAAATGTTCTTCCACTACCTGTTGATTGCGACGAAGACTCGCCGCTGTCTTGATCTGGCCGTGAACCGCTAGAAATTCTTGCCACTACCACTGTTGCATGAAGTAGAAAGTAAGCGAGTCTTTTCCGCTAAGCATTAAGCTTAGATAGCATTAAGTAAGTAACGTTATAAAGTGAAGTTCTTTATTAAATGTACCTCGGGTGGTTTTAGTCAAAGGATGATGGGTATTTAGTTGTTTTTAAGCGGAAAGTGTGTTATAATAATTGCTTAATTATAATGCAAATGTCGTGCGCGTTTATGTCTATTATTAAGACTGTTTTGAAATTAAATCAAATTAAATTGGTCTGCTGCAACAAAAAATTAATATGTTTATTTCTTACTTACATTTAAGTTTAGTAAATACCGTTTTTTTTATTCGACTTTATTCTTTTCTTTTAGTGTGATACAGTTGTTCTAAAGATCCTAATAATCTTTAAAATACGCTTTAATTTATTGCCAAATAGGTTCAATTTTGGTATTGATTTCTTTCTTATGATGCATCACATTGTCACTGTTTAATGGATAATCATAATACACTCATAAGTCTGGTAAGGTAATGACTCATTGCAAACTTTCGTGATTTAATGAAGATAAAGTTGTTCTTGTACTAGGCTAATAAATATAAATTTTATCAAAAGGCTGTCGCAATAAAGTTTTGCGTTATGCGTTTTGCGTTTAGGCTATAAAATGAAAAATTAAAGCATTGCAATGAAAAATGTTTTTGGGTTCAAGTTTTCCCCAACATAATGGAGACTTGGCCATACTCAACAAAAATTAAAACTTCTAATAAGAGAAAAAATAAATATGCATTCATATATTGCACAAAAGTTGAAAAAAATATTCCAGCTTATTTTATATATATATACATCTTGATTTTGTTGATAGGAATTTTGAAATTTTCTTTTTTCTTGGTCATAGATTTTTTAGGTTTGTAATAAGGTTTTAATGTAAAATAAGGTAACGATAGGGAACTCCACCATCGATGATTGGGACTGTTCGCGATGACGTATGCTTTAAAAGCGAAATTTACATTTTAAATAAAGCTGTATTTTATATGATATCTATATTACAAAAATATGTGGTTTATATTCAAACTTAACGTACACGAGCTATGTGTTTCATGATTATTGCAAGATTGCAGTATATTTATTACGTCTGCAATATTCTGAACCTTCCTTTGCTCGGCTTTGGGAACATAATTATTTGAATAAAATATAATAAATTAATTAAAATAAATCAATTTTTTTTCTTATTTTGTGACAATTTCAAGTTAGTCCATAGTTTGGATTACATAGACACATTTAATGATTACAAATTTAAGGATAATTTATTTCATATCTCCGCATCTCTTTTTATCAATTAAATCGTTGTGGCTATAATTCGGAAAATATTCTCACTTCCAATTAGCTGCACGTTAGTACATTTGGCGTTTTCAACTTAAAAAATATATAATCTTCCAAACATTTTTTTTTAAATAGTGATAATATTAGCTTTACTTTGCAAGAAAAATTAAAATCGCGTATGTAGCTGTTGTGAAGATATACATTTAAATGTATTTTTTTATAAATTAATTTACAACATTAAGCTTAGTCTGTGTATCGCCTCTTGTGTTGAGGTTTTTTGGACATTTTTCTATATCAATGGCTTCACGGATGGTACGTTTGGTTCTGTATTCGATGCTAGCCAAGACCTTTATTTTTTCAAAGTCAATTTCCCAATATTGCCAGCAATAGCCAACTTATTCATGAAAGACATAGAAGTACGCGCAATCGAAACGGCAACACTAAAATCAAAGTTTTGGCTACGGTACGTAGAAGACACATTTATCATCTGGACCCACGGAGAAGCGGAACTGAAGAAATTCCTGGACCATCTCAACAGAATTTCCAAAAAGATTAAGTTCACAATGGAAACCAAGAAAGAACACCAATTACCTTTTCTGGATGTCTTTATAATCAAGAAAAATAATGGCAAACTAGGGCAGAAGCCCAGTCTCACCACCACCCGTCACAACTGCAGTCAGTCATTAAGACACTAAGGCTGGCGGATGATGACCACAAGAAACAAGAAGACCTGAAAATCCAAACGACGCTACAGCAAAACGGATTCTTCAAAACCATCATTAAAAAGGCTCTTAGACCACGACGCCGATTAAATACCAAAGAGGACGAATACAACAAACCAACTTCGAAGGCCTTCCTTCCCTACGTGAAAGGGACAACCGAGAGAATAGGCAAAGTTCTCAAAAAACATAACATTGAGACAACATTTACCGCCTCAAGAAAGATCGGTGTGGGACAGACCAATAGATGTATTATTGTTAGACTCGAAGAACATTCTAACGCAGTCTTGAAACAATAAAAAACATCTTCCTTAGCTGAACACGTCCGACAAACTTCCCATGAAATTGACTTTGAAAAAACAAGGGTCTTGGCTAGCATCGAACACAGGACCAAGAAACCTCAACACAAGAGACGATACACATAGACTACCAACTGCATAAAAACCAGCTCTCATAACCACCAAAACACCACGCAAATTAACGAGATCAATGTTCTGCTTTAGGTTTTCAAGAGTGTTATATGTATTGATGGTTTTCCGGGACCTGCTCTGTGTTGTCGGTTCTTGGATCTAAAAAGCACCGTATGTCTGACAAGGTTTCGGTACAATCCCATGTACCCTCTTTAGGTCTTATTTGCTGGGCTGCTGTTGTGGCTTTGCTGCTTTAGGTTTCCACTGACGTTATATGTATGAAGTCGCAGCAGAGCAGCAACAGCAGCCCAGCACATAAGACCTGAAGACCATAAGATTGTACCGAAACGTCGTCAGACCTACGGTTCTTTTAAGAACCAAAAACCGACAACACGGAGCAGATCCCGGAAAACCATCAATATTTATATATAGGTATATATATATATATATATAGCGAATTGCTGTGGTCATTTTCACTAGAACACATTTTAAGCTTACTGTTGTGCATTAATTTATAAACAAATACATTTAAGTGTGTATCTCCACAACGGCTACATACGCGATTTTAATTTTTCTTGCAAAGTAAAGCTAATAATATCCCTATTTAAAAAAATGTTTGGAAGATTATATATTTTTCAAGTTGAAAACGCCAAATGTACCAACGTGGCTGAGATTAAAGTACAATAATAAATTTACATATAATAATAAAAATCAGATGCAATGTTAATAATACAAAAAGAAAGTCACTCAGGGGCGACTAATGGCCATTTTGATTTTTTGTTATTTCAAAATTTTTATATAATTTTGAATTGTGGTAAATTTTTCCAGATTTCCCCATAAAATATAATATGGTAATTATAAACATAAACAGTAAACCCCACTGTAAGCTCCTTTTTTTTAAACATAAACACTTAAACAGTGTCACGCATTTTATTACTTCTTTTAGCATAAACAGAATTTTCTTGTAACACAAACAGAAGCTATAATGAATAAAATACCAGATACAGAGAATTAATAAGCCTACCTCAACACAGTTTAGCAAAAACTGAAAAGTCACCTTATTGTAGCGAGTACCGCTCTGGCGCATCGCCGATGAGTCATCGCCGGTGAGTCAGCGCTCGAACAATCGAGAGAGGTGTGCAGCTGGAATGTTCGAGAAGGCACTTGCGTACTAGTGTCACGTAGGCACTGAATATATAAGGAACAGCGCAGCATGTAGCAGTCAGTCAAACTTTGGTACTCGCGACGAAATAAATAAATATACGCAAATAAATAGACTCTTGTACAGTAGTGATATATAAATAATTAGTAGTTAAGTGTTAAGTTAGTTTTATAGTTTATTGGTGTTTTAAGTGTAATTAAGTTATAATCCCAAGCAGCATTTTTGGTTCCAAAAACCATTGCCAAAGTGGTGATAACTTTAAATTAGTTAAGTATACTAAACAGCTACTTTAATTTTTACTTAAAAGTAATTTTAACTTTTAAATAGCAATATTTTGTAACAGAAACTTAATTTTTCCTTAAATGGTTACTATAAAGTAATAAACATTTAAGTAAAACTTGGTTGCCCCCAAGAAGACTTTGCAACTTTAAAAAAGGTGTTATAAGTAAAAAAAACTTTCAAGTAAAATTAATTTGTAGCGCTTACTTTCGGTTGTTACCTAAAGATTACATTATAATTATTTTTACTTTGTAGTCCCTTTGCAAGTTAAAATCTCGAAACTGGAACATGAGTTAAAAACTACAAAGTTAATAACTTAAAAGTTATTATTTTAGTATTTGGAACGTTTATGGTACTAACCAAAACAACCGTAAAGTGAAAAAAACTTTAAAGTAGCGAAAACTACTTCAAAGGAAAATGCTTCTTATCGGCCATTTTTTATTGTACAGTACCACGTGGTAATGTAAATAATAAATTATTTTAATTGTTTGTAAATGGTTGTTTACTTTTTAATAAATAGTAATTTTGTTGGTAATAGTCGGTATTAATAATTAAATAAAAAAAATAATAATAAATATTAAGATTTTTTTATTTTTAAACATTATTAAATAAATAATTTCTGTATACTTAAATATTGATGAAGCGCATTTATTTTACAAAAACTAAATTCATAAGTTCAACAGTAAAATTTAAAGGGTTTATAAATTTACCTGCCTAATTAAACATTATATTGTTATTCTGGAAGTCATAAACTACCAGTACATATTTAATAAACGACGACATTGAAAAGCCAAGTCCGTAGTGGTTCCATTTAAAAAAGGAGGGATAGTATAATCTAATATAAGTTTGACAAAGACAGTTAATATAGAAGTAAAAACAAATAAATAAAAGTAATTATAACGCTCTGGCAACGATATTGGAACGTTCTAGTAACCTAGCAGCTACGTTCCAAATAGTAGCAGGGTTTATAGCTAGTGACATATTTGTTACCTTTTTGGAACTCAATAATTGTTCCCCACTTTAGTCGTAACTTAGTAACGAAAGAGTAATATAAAGAGACCGGCGACTGTCGCAAAACACTTTAAAGTTTCTTCAATAGTCCCATATACGTAACAAATACTTAAATTGTTGCTTGGTTATTTAACGAGCTAAACTATTTATTTTAAAATAAATAGTTTAGCTCGTTAAATAACCAGTGCATGTTTTATTCACACTACGAACAGTAAAAACGTTACATTATTATATTTCGATTAAACTAGTAAATAAAATTTCCGAGCAACTACGGTCATTAGACGAGAAATCATTGAAATAAAAAATAACAAAAATATTACGACAAAAGCCTATTACTCGATAAAAGAGTTTCTGAATGGTGAATTGAGGGAATTATTGCTTTGATCGCTCTATAGTTTTAATATTGGTATCATATAGATTTGAAATATATTTCGTGATTTTAAATTTTGTTTTTTTTAATTGTACAAGATATGTTGTCAATTTTTTATTATTATTATTATTTTATTATTAGGTACCTGTACTGACAAGTGTAAAAATTTGTATAAATTATAAACAATATTATTAATTTTATTTTTAAACTTCTTGGTCACTTGAATAAGAATGTAAAACATAAACAAATCTCTATAATGTTATTTTTAGTGGATTATTTAAATTTTCCTTGGTTAAAATAGCGCCAAAATAGAATTTAAAAATTTATATTACCACATGAACCTTATAGCCTTTAAAATGGCACTTCAAATAAGCCGGTTAAACTCAAAAAGATAGCAAAAGGTTAAACCAAATTGAATTGATTGTTGGGTATAATTATAAAAAAATCATAAATTTTCCAACGTACATTTTTGTATTTTGAGTTATAATTTTGATCTTAACTTATTTGATGTGATATTTTACTGGGTTTTAATGGCTTTATTTTAGGAAAAATATACTTTAAACTGGATATAGGCAAAATGCCTAGAATCCGGTCTCTAATGATGTTTATTGTTAGGCAGTATACAATACCAGCATGCGCCATTATTTGGATGGTCTCTTGGTAACACGCGATAAACAAATGAAATCACTACCATTAAATAACACACCGAACAGTTTAACTTACGACACCGCATTAGTACATCAATATTAATGCAGAAAGATGGAATCGTGCAGTGAAATTACACCTACGGAAAGTGAGGAGGATTACGGGTCATACTGTAAGTAAAACTTTTTTTTTTTTGGTGAAAATGTTTAACTTTTTAAAAAGTTTTACAGCCTGCTAGTTCGCCTTATAATTTAGCTGAAAAATTGCAGCAAGCAAATCAAGAGCTTGTTGATCTAAATCCTGAAAAATGTAAAACTATTAAAGTGCAATTTAAAGAAAATTTGGTTACCTACGAGCCCGAATTAACTGACGACGATATAAATAGCATTGAAAGTGATTATGTTGAGGTTAAATTGGAAGAATGTTTAGAATATAAAACTATAACACAATTTTCACAAGAGAGTTTACATCTTTTTAATATTAATGAAGTTGAGGAACACTTTGAAAATACTATTGATGAGGATATAGAAGAAGTGTATGATGAGGAAGTAAAAGAGGAACTAGATTATGAAAAAATAGAAGAAGAGCATATAGAAAGCAGTATTAGTGAAGCAACATACACTGAACCTATGAAAAAAATGTCACCTAAGCAAGAATTAAAAGAAATCAAAAAGACTAGGAAATCTAACAATAAAAAATATGTGGTGCATGGTAATATAGACTGTAAAAACCACTGCATAGAGCAAATAGATCACTTATCAATGTCAATAAGTAAAATACAAATTCATGAAAAACCTGCGGACTGTCCACCTTTAAAACTCCGTCAAAGAAAATGCTGTAACGAAAAAGATGATTACAACTTACCAATATACAACGGTTTAAAATCAGAGTATGGCCTAACCCTTCAACAGCTAGAAGAAAAGAGAATTATGAACAAAATATGGCAAAATAAGCAGCTATATCGTCAAAAATGCCTTGAAAAGGCCCGCTTGAAAAGAACCCTACAAAATGAGGAAAATTTTAGCCAATGGCTTAGAAACATCCAAAATAAAAATAAACAAAATAAACGCGTGACTAAGCCCAATAAAAAACCTGATGTAACGAAAATTTTGAACGCTGAAAAAATATACAGGCCAAGCACTGCTAAAGAAACTTCCAAAAAATTTACTACTACAAATAGGCCTTATAGTTCGCATTTATGTGTTTATATAGAAATGCCCGACTGTGAAGTACGTAAAAATGTATACATTGGTGATTTAATTATACAGAAATCTAAGAAAAATTTTAGAAAGCCTTTGCAAAACTAAATATGTATGTAATGTAATTTTGACTTATCCGTTAAATGTTTATATTGGTTATTTAACTATAAAAAAATAAAAATAACTGTAGAAAACCTTTTCAAAACCAAACAATGTAATTTTGACTTATAATTATAGCTTTAATTAGAACTTTACCTTTTATAACGCTTTTGCTAATAAAATACTTACAAAATTAAGGAAATTTTTTCGTATTTTTAACAATTACCTATATGTTTTTAAATCAGTTTTAAAAATATTTAAATAGAATTTTTCTTCCTCTTTAAAGTACAGGGGAATTTCACGCCAAATTAACCACTTTTGAATCCGACCCCTTTTGATTTTGCTGAATTTTGTATAAAGGGTGGCCCAACAAAAACGTAACTGAGAAGTTTTCAGGCAGTAAGCAGTGATTTTTATGATGGAAATAATTAAATTATTTTCAGTTGTTTTTACGATATTCAAAATTGAATTTCCACTTCGTTTCTTATTCAAATAATTTAAAGATATTTAACTTATGTTTTGGGATACATTTTAAGAAAATGTTTGTACCTTATTGTTACATATCTATATGTTATCCTGTAATTGTCCTGTTTATGGCCAACAAAGGGTACGGACATAAAATACTTCAGCTTTCTAAAGAAAGAAGATTTGACAAAACAATGGAAAATCGCTTGCCGGAGAGAATAAATTTAAAAAATGGTAACTTTTGGAATTTCGTAATCAAGACAAGTAGGTAACAACTTAGATTATAAGATTTTTTTTTTAATTTAATTTTTAAAAACCAGATTTTTTAAAAATATGCAGGATGTTCCATAGAAAACTTGTACCCCCCAAAAGTTTGAAAGGGTGAATGTGGGATAAAATTCCTTGGATACGTCAATTTTTAATTCTAGGCGGACGAATTTTAATGTACGATTTACGCCCCCACTTGCACCCCACGTACTCCACCTCTTAATAAGATTCTGTAATTTTTTCAATATCCTGTTAGTTTTCGAGAAATTGCTATCTGAATTAAATTCGGAACATTATTCAAGTTAAGACAAAAAAATGTAAATCAACGAATGTGTGGTTTTCTTGGAGAAAATATGGATCGCACATTTGTTGATTTACGATTTTTTTATCTCTTAATTTGAAAATTTAAATAGCAATTACCAGTAAATTAACCTACTGATTTTTTAAAATTACAGAATCTTATTAAAAATTAAAATACCTTTGAAACGATATGTCCCTCAACCCCCCGTGCAATTTAAGATTTTGGGGGAGGGGGAGTGCTTAGGGGTGCGGGTGAGGGTGTAAAGCGTACGTTAAAATTCGTCCCCCTAGAAATAAAAATTGATGTGTCCAAGGAATTGTGTTTAGGTTCAGATGTTGGTAAACTTTTTTCAGCAACTATTTGCTTAATGCATTTATAACATTGATGTTTTTCTTTTTTATATGACTTAGATACCTACCTGGTAAAAACATAGAACACAATGTATTTATAACATTGAAATTACGCTTTTTTTAAATATCTTTAAATTACGTGGTAAAAACATAAATTCAAAAACTTTTACTTTTATTATTTTTAAACGCGCGCCCCAAAACTACATTACCTTAAGCCGGGTCTTCAATTGTCGGAGGGGTCCGATCGCAGGACATAAAACATAATAAAATCGCAAGTCGTTATGTCAGCTGTCTACAATTGTAGCGCGAAGAGCATCCAGTGTTGCTGGTGTATCCGGGCTCGGTGGCGAGATGGAAGGCATTTCAGTCTTTGCAATATTGGTTGCCTACTACTGGCGTAAAGTAGAAAACCTATTGTTTGATATAGATTTATATATGTATTTACATCCCGGCTACAATGCTGCAATACATTAAGAAATTTGTATTCAATGCTGCGTCGTATATTGTAATAAATATAGGTAACATTACTTATGGGGGATAATTTTTCAAAAATAGAATTATAATATAATATTTTTATGATATAGGTCTATTCTTTTAAGAATAATAAAATATTCTGTTAGGTAGGTTTTTAATTAATATAAATATTAACATATATAGGTAATAAGTATTATTTTGTAAATTCACCTAACGTTAACTACATTATGGCTGATATTACCAACAAAAATTTAGTAGATTTTGTATTTAAAACTGACAATATTACTGATTTTCTATTTATCTTTCTAGAAAACTACAATGCAAACTTTTACCCTGAGTAGCTAGAAATCGGTGAAACAAAGACCAAGCCTTAGCCGCTAAGGTTCAAATTCAATCACTTATGGACCATACAGTTCTAGGAATTTTATAATCATGTGAAGACCTTCAGGCAGATATCCTGCTTTACTGCATACAATTGTAATTTACGGGGCAAATTTTATTAGTCATTTTTATTTACCAATCGGCCAATTATCGGAGGAGACTCAGGAGTTTACTCTATTCTAATACAACTGTATTTTTAAACATAAATATATTTTAGGGGTTAAATAAAAGTCGTATTAATTAATAAACTCTTTATTGAATTATATAAATAGTTCCTAGTAAATGAGAACCTAGGACTAGCTATAACTTACATACAGGATTTGTCTTTGTACAATTTTACACATACATGGAAGTATATAAATAACCTCTCTTCAATATTAAAAAATCATTTAAATAACTATTTAAAAGATTTTGTAATCTTTTAGTTAATAGGTGTATGAGATTAATATAGCAACATATTATGATATGATTAACATTTGATATCTTAATAAAAAGTCTTTAGAAAGTTGCAATATTTTTTTATATAACAACAGCTTGGCATTATTATTTTTTTAAATAAATGGCAGTATGAATTTGGTCAAATAACTTACACCTAGATTATGTATATCAATAAATATTTCTGCCAAAAGTACCTCTGCGAGAAAAATTATTACATTTATATCCAAAAATTATTTCCTAAGAGATTATTTAGTTTAGAATATCTAATGATTTCATTTATCATCTAAACAATTAGGAGAATATGTACATATTATTTAAAATACTTAATATAGTGCATAACACTTAAAAAGGCAAAAGTGTATTAATACTAATTTTGGTCCTTAATAAAGGATTCAATAAATTGGATTAAAACTTGTTGCAATACATTTAACAATGTCCTAATTGTTGATATTAAAAGTAATAATTTTTACAATAATCACTGTTTGCCTGTGATATTTATAAATCACATGTTGTTATGGTTATATATTTTTGGTCCGAAACAAAAATTTATATACAAAAACTAAAAATAAAAAAGGCAAATAATCGCAGAAGGTTTATTTATATGGTTATATTACAGCCCAAAGCCACCTTATATTAACGCCATATTTAATAAATATATATCTGTACAAACGAAAAAAAAATAGACGTCAACAGGCGACATTTCAGGGGCATTATCTTTGACTAAGTGGTTGAACACTGATTGGTAATCATTATTATTCAGGTAATTCCATGATTGACTTAAAAATTACGCAAAAAATAAAAATTCTTAAAAATAGACTGTTAGTGGTTAATTCAAAAGAATTTCAACGAGTTTACCTGGAATAAGTAAAATAACAATTATTAACAATTTTTTTTCTCATTTTCAAGATTTATTTACTTGCTAACCACTGTTTAAATAGAAATAAGAAATGCAAGTATACATACTAAAGAACTCTTAATATTACAATAAAAAATATACATTAATTTTTTTGAGTATTTGGAAATTTATGAAAGTTTACATATCGGGCAGTCTTTTAGTTTAAAGTACTCTTTTTATGTTATTGCTTCAAAATTAAAAACATTGGGTGATGTGCTACAACAAAGAAACCAAGTTTACAGGGCATGTATAAGCAAATTTACTTATATTATAAAAAATCATAAAAATTGCCTCAACTTTTAAAAATATTGTAATAATTTTAAATTAATAAAAATAAATTTGTTTTAATAATCTTTTGGTTTCTTGTGTATTTTTTCTTACCTTCATTTATCACAGTAAAGAAAGTTATGTGATGGTATAAAAAATTTGCTTTATCATTGGCATGAAATGTAATTTGTTGTTTTATTATTATCCTATTATTTAGATAATAAACACATAAAACAAAAAAAATAAGAGTTTAAAGAATATATACGCCTTTTCATAAATTTCCTTCATCAATATTACAAATACAAATATTTAAACACCACACATTTTTCTCGGGTCCGTGAGACCCATCAACGTTAGCAGTGCACCTTTTATAATACATTGCGGTTTACTGTAGTGGCAGTTCCGTAGCTGGTTGTCGCTGATTGGCACATCTATTTTGAAGGCACTGTGCATACATTTTTGCTTTGTTCACGCGAAGAATTGTTTATTTGTCTTTGAACGATGTTGTGCCTAGTCTTGCCGTACATTCTGCTATGTTAAAAGCCGAACACTCATAAGAAAAAGTACTAAATAAACAATCAAATTGGCTGTTTGAAACACTAATTCAATGATGGTCAAATGTCCAAAACTCTTTAGAGTACGTCACAACTTTAGGGGAAGACTTTGTGACAATATGTAAAAAATGGACATAATGAACGTTGCCAATGTTTAAAATTGAAATTAAGAAGATTAACCTTAAGACGAAATATATATTAACGAATTTTAAGTTATAATAAACAAAACACAAAGTGTTTAAAGTACCTACTTTTTGTCAACGATGTTGGCATCTTCAAAAGCGAAGTGTACCTGCTAAATCTACCATATTTATACTAATTATAATTATAAGCTTATAATAATAAGGTTGACTTATAATTAGTATAAATATGCTAGATTTAGCAGTTAGATTTAGTTACACTTCGCTTCTAAAGATGCCAACTTCTTTGGCAAAAAGTACTTTAAGCACTTTGTGTTTTGTTTTAGTGTTAAGGAATATATCTAATAGGATAACTTCTACAACTCAACGCAAAACAAACAAACTTGTCGCCTTAAGGTTATGAAAATGACCCTTTTAAGTCTATGGTGTGACATGGCAATGTTATTATGCGTGACAGGGTATTTATGCGCGACAAAGGTTAATTAACCCCCAAAAAAGTTGTGACGTACGTACATATGTGATGTGAAATAAGGAAATTGCTTGAGTTGGCAAATGACCGGTCACATTGTGAATGTGACTGATTAAGTTGTACATGTGTACTTGATAAAATTGGTAAAAACAAAACCTTCAACATTTAAAAATTTGACAAATTGACTAAAATTTTAAATTTTTGACCAAAAGTTATTCTTCTTAAAATTTTATGCCTGTTTAAAAAGTCATTGCCATACTTTAAATTTGAAAATATTTTACAGGGGGTCGAAAAACAAAAAACATGAAATACTATTAAGAGTAAACTACCTTTATTTTTCGTTTTGGAGCAGTGACAAATAAAAAAAAAGATTTTAAATCATATCCAAAGATCAAATGTATAAATTAGAAATTGAATTTTAAAACTTTAAAAGTAAAACAAAATTTAAAATACCGAGTTGAAATATTAAAATTACTATTTGGATAGGATTTGAAATTTTTTTTTTTATTTGCCACTTTGCTCCAAAACAAAACATAAAGGTAGTTTACTCTTAATAGTATTTCATGTTTTCTTTTTTTTCGAACCCCCTGTATAATATTTTCAAATTTAAAGTATGGAAATAGACTTTTCAAAACAAGCAGAATTTTTATGAAAAATGTATATATATATATATATTTGACAACTCTACTATATAGCGAGAAAAAGAAATTTAAAGTAAACAAGTCGAAAATCACGTAGCAAAAACTTAACGACCACTTCGAAGACGCTCAGGTAACTTTTCGGTCGTCAAGACTCCTACCAGATGACTTATGTGATATGATGACTATTATTTATACCACCAGAATTACAGAACTGTATCTATGATATATGGTTGAATAGCATTCAGTCTAAGGTAATTTAAATATACATGTTTTAATACAATTTAGGTTTTGATTAAAAAGCTTATTTGTTTGTTTATTTGTTACTTGTTCCAGCAACGCTTTTGTTATGAACAAGACTAGGTTATATTAAAGCTAAGTCAATTCTTTATACTTAAAACAATTATGGGAATGAACAATTAAAATTAAAAACTTAAAATTACAATTAAAGCACAGCCTGTTTATATTTTTAACGCAGTCCATAACAATGTATGTTGAATGAAATTTTGATTAACGTTTTTTTCTTTCGGTATATACGATTAATATCTATTGTAATTTATCACAATTTTTTAGATACAAAATAATAATAATAATTAAAAAATGCATGGTTGTCACTTTGGAGTCTTAAAATATCTAAGGACAACATAACCTAATGTACGAAAGACGAATAGGAAGGCTAACAGTACGATTGTATTCGCCCAGAGCGGCAAATCCGCTCCTTGAGCCTCCAGTATTGAAGACATGGGTATATTTTCAGATTTGTTGCAAACTGAGAACTTGGACTGTTCGGCACACCTGAAAAAAAAACAATTTATTAATACCAAGGCTATTAAATAATATAAATACATAATCTTCATAATATATTAAATCAACCAATTAAATAAAAAGAAAAGCCTGATAAGTACTTTTAAACTAAAAAATAAAAAAGCGATTTGGAGAAACTTCCCTAGCAAATATTTAGGATGCTATTTAAAATCATCCCAATGATTACAAAAAATACAAAAAACACATATGGAATCAATTCATGGGGTTTTGTAAGGAAATACCACGACAAGTGACCTCGCAAATATATTGACCGACTGAGGATTTAATGTGAAAAAATCTAACGGAGATGGCTATAAAGAATCATAAAAACGATATGTAGGTATACTGCAAAAAAATGCAACAAAACATTATGAAGAATGCGGATTAAGTTTTTTACCCATTCACTGATTTGGAATTTAAAATGGAAAGGGAAGCAAAAAATACAAATAGAAAAAGATAATAAGGATTCAGGAAAAGCGAAAACAGAGCTTACAAAAAAAATGTAAAAAAAATAATACAGGTTAGAGACGAAGACACGCCTGAAGGGTTGCAAAAGAAATTTTACCATATTGCAGCATTTGAACTAGCTTGGAGATTAGGGAAGCAGACAAATTTAAAACTGATTATTTTAAATTTGAAAAAGATTGAAATGGAATTTTAACGAATAGATTGGAATATAATAATATGTTATCAAAGACCCAACAAGGAGGTAAATCTTTGCGATAGTAAATGGCTTACCCCTAACTTAAAGGATCCTGTTATGTGTCCAGTCCTTGTAGTTTAAAAATTAATGAGGAAACATTAAAAAACATAGCATTGCTATGATAGCAATGAACAGATTAACTCCAAATCCTACATGGAATAAAACCAACTTCAGCGGATGGTATAAAAATGTCCTGTAGAAAAAATACTCATAGTAAATGGACTAAAGAAACAGCCAAAACATTGGATTGGATGTTAAAAACAATATAATTACAAATCACTCAAACAGGTGCAGTACTGTTTCGACTGTAGCCAAATATACCGTTTTCACTAAACGCTTAATTAAAATAAGTGGGCATGTTAATGCAAAATCCTTACTTACAATTGAATAATAACCATGAATCAAATTTAAATTCCAACTTAAAAGATCCTACAAGCACAAATCAAATTTCTGAAAACACTGCCAATAATCAAATTTTAGAATCCAAGAGTAACAGTACTATTTATAACCATTGTGTTTTTTAAGTTAATACAATGAACATGTGAATTTTTTCATTATTAATTTTAGTAACTTCAATAAATTTTGTTTGAAAAAATATCATAGTTATTTATTCATGTAGTATCTTCACATAATACCCGCGAGATCAATTTTTAACCGAATAATTATCAAACCTTTTTATTATTAAAAAATTACTCTCGAATTAAGGAACGTTGGAAAAATCGATCCACTTTTTTTATAGCAAAAAAATGTTTATAAAAAAATATACAGTAAAACCCTGACCTCTTGTGCATTAACCCCTGATAAAAATTAACGCACAAGCGCTAAAAGCGAAAATGACCTTAACTTCCAACCATAACCAATTTTAACACTATATCCCTATACATTTAAATGCTTACTTATTTAGAAAAAAAAATTATCAAGCAAAATAATTAAAAAATAGCTGCTGATTAGTGTAATGGGTTAGTTGGACTTAATCATAAATAATACTTTAAGCTTACTTGATAGGGTGCTCCTCTCCAAACTCCACAATCTGCATATTTTGGTAGGCATAATGCACCATTGAAAGATAGCGCATCCAAGTTAACCAAACAGGTATATTCGTCGCCAGGTAACCACCAAATAACTGCGTCGCCAGCGTGTAGAGGGCGCTAATTGTAATGCTTAACTGCATGTCCATACAACACGCTCCTATAAAGAATCCTACCGACTGCGCCACTATAGTGTTTAGCAGTAAGAAACCCAGTAACTTTATAAATACTGTTGGTGAGTGAAAACCTTTAATAAACATATATTAGTATTATTTGTAAGGATAATGTCAGTCAGGCTTACCTAACATAGGATATGATATAAAATGGTATACAGCTGGCAGTGTTACTGTTAAAGGTAGTTCACCCACCATTTTGGCTAAATAATACGCTGATAGTCTGTATGCACCAGACTGTCTTTCTTTACTTATCACTTCTCTTTCTGGAGGAACTAAAAATATCAAAAGATTATTATAAGTATTATTTTTTTAGAAAAATGTTATATGTTATTGTATAGAGTCCAGTTTTAGGGGGAAATTCAAGGATCACAAATTTTTACTTTGAGACTTTGCAGTAGTTAAACACGATAAAAGTCCTCACTCCTAGAAGGTGAGCAGGAAAGCACTTTATCGCTTATTGCTTATAACTCGGAAAGTACGGGTCCTAGCAATAAGAACATTTTATACAAAATTAAAGGTGACAAAAGATTGATTCATTAATTTTTTCGCTATTTGGAATAGTTTTCGATATATTCGCGCTCAAAATCCACTGATTTTGAAAACAAATATTTCTTTACTTTCTTTCTTATACTACTTTTTCGTTGGACCAAGGGCTAAAAATAAGCTAGGCAAATAAGACAAAAAACGTGAAGAAACTTTTTCTCTCAAAAGAAGCAAATTTAAAGTGCAAAGATCACAAAAACCATGCGATAATAGGCAAAAAACTGTAAAACTAGACCTTCTAGGGGGCTCCCTGCACCCCGTTCACCATCCTTTTAGTATTTTTACTTTAAAGTGTGTACTTACATGAACTTAGAGCTCCAAAATGTGCAAACAACATCCAGTAAGTCGTGGAAAAAAACATCCAGCCTTGGATATCGTGTAATGCCTCTTCCTTTCTCTCCAATTGAAACCAAAGTAAGCCTGCTAAAAGCCCCAAACCTATGGTTTGAACCCAGTGCAATTTACTTAACATCCTTGGTCTTGCTTCTTGGAAATTTCGCTGTGACAACACTTTAAATTGTGTCCAAAAACTAGTCGGCCAGGAAAAGTAACAGTCCGAGTCATTGGTGTCCGAACTTACTGAGGAGGAAGCATGCGAGTGGGTGTCCAGCCATAATCTTCGAACATCCGGTTCCATGGAGTTCAGTGTGTCTTCTAAAATAACTAAAGGTAACTTTTATTGTGTATACCATATAATTGAAACTAGAAAAGAACCCTTACGACAAAAAACAGATTATGAAGAAAACCGTTTTCAGTTTTTTGCTGCAAAGACCCTTTTTGGTTCCAAGGAAGGATTTTTCTTACGTTCTAAACTTGGATATGGTCCATGCGATGCTGGAAGAATTTTATTTGTATGATCAATGTATTTTTCTGTAATATACGCGCATTCGTGGTTTATTAACTCCATTGGATATTCTTTACTTTTACGTAATTCTCTAGCAGCATTTATAATTCTTTGTCGAAGCTCTGGAGGACCTTTTACTTGCTCCACTAAAATTAACCAAAAAATAAGTTATTTAAAATGCTCAATTTCAACTTTAAAAAAATGTATATCTTACATATAAAATCTGCAGGGTTATAATGCAACATAATATTCAACCCTATACTGCTAAAAAAGTCCACCACTTTACAGGTATCGCCATAATATGCCGTTTGCCCGTTACAGAGTAAAAGGAGTTTATCACATAGGTGGAATATTTGTGAGGATGGTTGATGTAAAGTTATAACTACAGTTTTTCCTTCCAAAACTGCATATCTTTTTAGTGTCGTCATTAGACTGTGCGCTGCATGAGAATCCAACCCGGAAGTTGGTTCCTAAAATAAATTTTTTGGGTTGGGTTATAATTATATATTATAATTCTATAAAGTTAGCTTTAAATCCAAAATCTTAAATTCTAGATAGGCATTTAAAGTTTACAGTTTTAGTTGTAAATAAAATGTAAAAAGGTTCTTACATCTAGAAGCATAATTGAAGGGTTTGTGAGCAGCTCGCAGGCGATATTGGCACGTTTTTTCTCGCCCCCACTTAACCCCCTCTGAATATAATCACCAATAATAGTATCTTGAACATTAACAAGTCCCAACACGTCAATAATATGATCAACATACTGCATTTTTTGTGAGTAACTCAAGGTATCAGGCAGTCTTAACCTGGCCGTATATTCTAGAGTCTGCCTTAGGGTTAGAGCAGGAAAAAAAATATCCTGCTGCAGGACGTAGCAAATCTTTCTTTTCCAACGTTTACACAGAGGATCGCGGTTGAGGAATATTTGCCCCGAGTCCAACTTTCTTCTACCGCTTAAAGCGTTAAGGAGGGTTGTTTTTCCACATCCGGATGGTCCCATGATGGCCAGGACTTGACCGGGACGCACCAAACCATCGACATCCTGAAGGATTGTCCTGTTTCCAGCGCTAACTGTGATGCCTCGAAATGCCAGGTGAACCGGCAAGGGACGGTGATCTGTTATGAGACATGGGAAATGGACTACATTTGAATCTACCCTGTAAACAAGAAATGTTAAGTGTTAGATTAAATGTATTGAAAAAGAGTCTTACGAAATATAAGTATACATTTTCATGTTTCTGACGTTAAGAATGTTTATATAGACCATGGTCAGTATTTACCAAAAATATCACGATAACGATTGTTAAGGTTACCATATATTAAACTTTTATCATGTATTATATTAAAATATATGTTTACTGAATAAATAAATAAAAAAACTAAAAGTTAATAACCTTAAGTAAAGTTTTCCATAAAACGTTGGGTATTGGAAAAGTTTTGAAGCTTAAATTTGCCGCTTACATGTAAAAATCAATTAAATGATTTCAAGGGGTGGCATATTAAACGGGGGACTGACTGTTCGATGCTCTCATGAAAGGGCTTTTCAAGGACAATGCGATTGATGAGCAAGGGCGATTTAAGTGAATGTCAAGGTTAGGCTACATGGCCAACCGATTTGTAATAAAAAATATTTCTTTATAAATTGTTTTGAAAACCGCACAAAACTGTTGCCGAGATACCTTTTAATTTGTAACCGGATCATAAATTCAGAGTTATAAGTGTATAAAACCGAACCGAATAGAGTTGACATTCAAGCTGGGAAAATCTCAAGCGGCAGCAAAATTATGGAGTACGATGGGGAAATTGTCATAAACCAGTAGCGTGCCTCCACGGGGAAAATTTCCCAGTTTGTGAAAAAAGTTATTAAAAAACTTTAAAAATAACTAATTTATTTTTGTTTTCGATTTTACATATTTAAAAATACGAGTTTCCAAATATTCTAAAATTAAATGATTCATAACTCGGAAAAATTCCCATATGGCCTTATAAAAATATAAAAAACCTGACATAAAATAATAATTATCATAATAATATTAAGACATTATTTAAAAAAAAATTAATTTAAAAAAATGCTAAAAAAATTAACAAAATGGTTAAAAATCATAAAACAAAAATAAAATTATATAAAATATTAAATATGAAATTAAACAAATTAAAAACCCAGTTTTACGGTTTTTTATACCTATCATAAGAATATTGATAAATATTTTTTATATGTAGGTACCCAAGCAGCATTTTTGGTTACAAAAACCATTACCAAGGTGGTGATAACTTTAAATTAGTTAAGTATACTAAACAGCTACTTTAATTCTTTCCTTAAATGGTTAATATATAGTAATAAACATTTAAGTAAAACTGGGTTGCCCCCAAGAAGGTGTAAGTAAAAAAAAAACTTTCAATTAAATTTAATTTGTAGCAGTTACTTTCGGTTGCTACCTAAAGATTACATTATAATTATTTTTACTTTGTAGTCCCTTTGCAAGTTAAAATCTCGAAACTGGAACATGAGTTAAAAACTACAAAGTTAATAACTTAAAAGTTATTATTTTAGTATTTGGAACGTTTATGGTACTAACCAAAACTTCCGTAAAGTAAATTAAGGTGGAAAAAAACTTTAAAGTAGCAAAAACTACTTCAAAGGAAAATGTTTTTTATCGGCCATTTTTTACTGTAGAGTACCACGTGGTAATGTAAATATTAAATTATTTTAATTGTTTGTAAATGGTTGTTTGCTTTTTAATAAATAGTAATTTTGTTGGTAATAGACGGTATTAATAATTAAATAAAAAATTAATAATAAATATTAAGACTATAAACATTATTAAATAAATAATTTGTTTATACTTAAATATTGATGAAGCGCATTTATTTTACAAAAACTAAATTCATAAGTTCAACAGTAAAATTTAAAGGGTTTATAAATTTACCTGCCTAATTAAACATATTGTTATTCTGGAAGTTATAAACTACCAGTACATATTTAATAAACGACGACATTGAAAAGCCAAGTCCGTAGTGGTTCCATTTAAAAAAGGAGGGATAGTATAATCTAATATGAGTTTGACAAAGACAGTTAATATAGAAGTAAAAACAAATAAATAAAGTAATTATAACGCTCTAGCAACGATATTGAAACGTTCTAGTAACGTAGCAGCTACTTTCCAAATAGTAGCAGGGTTTATAGCTAGTGACATATTTGTTATCTTTTTGGATCTCAATAATTGTTCCCCACTTTAGTCGTACCTTAGTAATGAAAGAGTAATATAAAGAGACAGGCGACTGTCGCAAAACACTTTAAAGTTTCTTCAATAATAATAATAATAATAATTTATTCATCAGTAAAACAAAATTACAAAGTAAATTTTGCCTATATGACTAGTCACACAAAAATAAGTAAAAATAATGACACTTAATATTAAATACTATAACATATACAATAATAAAATTTAATGATAAAATTAAAAAGAATCCTTAAAAAATTCTTCAACAGAATAGTACATTTTATTTAAAAAATAATGTGTAATTTTTTCTTTAGAATATTAATATTTTTACAAGATAAAATAACATTTGACACATGATTATGACATTTTATTCCCTGATAAGCAAAGACTTGAGAGACTGACAATCTGGAATAAGGCAAATATAGGTTTTTATTACCTCTTGTACCATAACTATGCATATCCTTTGTTTGTATATATTTATATATAAATAAACCTTTATTTTCTTCAATGTATATAATTAAATTTTAAATAAATAAACAGGGTAGTGTTAAAAATGAATATTTTTTAAATAACGGTTTACACGAATATGATGGACTTTTACTAATAAAAATACTCTTTCAAAGTAAGCTGAAACACCCCAAAAAATAATACCATATGACAATATAGATTGAATTACGCCAAAATACATTAATCTCAATACAGAAAAGGACACTATGTCTGTAAAAGACCTTATTAAAAAACATAAGGAGCTTAATCTCTTACATAAAGAATTTATATGTGGTTCCCAAGTCAATTTTTGGTTCAATGTTTATGTATACATATACTATATATAGGCTAGAATCAAGCCTTGCTTTTTTTTGGAAAAAATTGCATAAAGTTTGTTTTATTAACATTTGACACCAAGGAAGAGTTTGTGGAAAGATTTTTCACTTCTTTATCCATAAGCAAAACATTTGTATCATCAGCATATATGCTAAATTTGTATTGTATACAATACAAATTTAGCATGTTCATTAAATAAGACAGATATGTCATTAATAAACATAACAAAAAACAAAGGCCCCAGAATTGACCCCTGTGGAACCCCAAGTAAGACTTTTTCACACCTTGATGCATTTTAAAAAAAAACGAGTTCTGTCGGATAAATAAGAGAAGACCCACTTAAGCGGTGGACCCCGTACACCTACGGATTCAAGTTTTTTGAGCAAAAGTTTATGATTAACCATATCAAATGCTCGACTTAGGTCAAAAAATAAGCCCACCATTTGCTGCTTATTATTGAGACCTTCATATATAAAATTAAGGGCATCAGCTATAACGGTAGTGTGGATTTTCCTTGTCGAAAGCCATTTTGATTTTCAATAACAAGATAATTATTTTATAGGAAATCTCGCAGTCTTTTATAATATAAATAATCTAAAACCTTGCCAAATTGACTTGATAGGCAAATTGATCTATAATTGGTTGGATCATTTTTGCAACCCTTCCCCTTATACACCGTAATACACTTAGACTTCTTTAATGAGCTGGGGTACACTCCATCAAAAAATATAGTCCCATATACGTAAGAAATACTTAAATTGTTGCTTGGGTATGTAGTTGCCGAGCACCAAATATCTCTAATTGCTAAATCCAATGTAAAAGGTAAATAACACTAAATATCATGATTATTTTTTGTTAGGTACCTAATTTTAAATGTTTTTCTTTCCAAGTGTAAAATTATCATTTTGTCACATTTGAGGATTTTGCAACCTGAAGACAATTACAAATGTACGAAACATTTAAAATTTTAAATATTGACAAATAAATATTCATTTTAATACGCCACTGTCAAAGGAGCCACTGTTAACATCGAGATGACGTAGCGCAACGTTGGGGTAGTTGCTCCCCTGTTGAGCAGCAAAAGGAAGCGGCCGGGGTATGTGTGGCGGCGGAACGTTGCACTTCGGGGTCGGCAGAGTTCACCGAGGTCACGTTTATACCAACACAAAACACCGTTGCCATATCTAACCCCATACGTGACACTCGGTTTCCCGAGGGAGCCTTTATCATTGTTTGAGTTTGTTTTTACACAAAAAACTTTTTGTGGTAAAGTTTAATAATTGTTCACTTTTGAAACAATATTTATTAACTAAAAGTCATAAAACAGACATAAAAATAGCTAGTTCCGAAAAACTTCATTCATTAAAACTAATGTGTTATATTATAGCAGTATCTTAACGTAATCTAGGGAGATAAAATTGGCAACAATGATTCAAAATCGATCCACTAGACGCAGTAGCAGAACTGCTCGCCAAAAAATATCCTATGTTATGCAATTCACTGAACTTTTACATTGATAGAATTACAATTTAAAATAGACAATTTACATAATTTAAATTAACTACGAGGTGTGTTCAGAAAATATCGGGAATTTTCGTTTTTTGAAACAAATATTTATTTATTCGTCTACATTAATGTTGTCGCCTTCAAAATAGTCCCCATTGGATATTATTCACATGTGCCAGCTCTTCTTCCAATACTCGATCTTTGGGATAGCCTTTAGTTCTTTCAGCGATGCGCTTTTAATGTCATCTATGCTTGCAAAACGACGGCCCTTTAAGGTTCTCTTTATTTTTGGGAATAGGAAAAATTCAGTCAGAGGCATGTCTGGCGAATATGGAGGCTGGGGCATCATTACAGTATTGTTTTTGGCCAAAAATGTTGTTCAAAATTTAACAATTTTGCAACAAATTTTGCTGCCACGCGTTTCATACCCAAAACATTCGAAAAAATTTCATGGGATGAGCCAATCGATATACCAACATCATCAGCGACTTCTCTGATGGTTTATAACCATTTCTTCCACTTTTTCCATGTTTTTATTGGTTGTTAATGTGCTTGTGCGTTCGGGGCGTTCGTCATCTTCAACGGCCATCTTGGAAACTCTTGTTTTA